TTAAATTGACGGCAGATGCCTGTGGGGTCTGCAGTGTTACATACTACTTCACAAGGTGCTGATTTATACAAGTCCATTGAATGGTACATGACTTTATTGGGGGAAAAAAGCATTTCTTTGGTCATTTTATACTCTACCTGAGTAAATTTAATTTAGATAGTCATTTTTCATCCTTCAAAAAGAGCCTCACGCTTATGTTAATTGTTTAGAAGTTTTTGAACACTGATGTACAAATGGTTAGCAGGCACGAAATCTCTTCATTTCTAAAATGCATCATGAGTCATGTCTTTTCTAAAACTGAGAGAAGCTGCTGTCCATTAAATATGCTGGCACATCTTCTGCTTGAGCAAGTGGACCAAAATGGTGTGAATTGTTAATGCCTTACTGCTTTGGTTCACGGTTTGTGATTGATCATTTGTAACTATATCTACCCCTTGTTCCATGAAATCAAGTATGGAGTAATGGGTTCATCAGATTTTTAGGTTAAATTGAGAGTGAAGAGGTACTGTGTGGAGAAATAAGAGTTGCCATGTTCAGGGCTGGCCTTCTAACAGCATGGATTCTAAAGACGATATTCAAAACCACTTCACCCATCATACGCTTACTGATTCTGAATAGGTCCTATTTGCAGAGGACATTTGGTAGTTTTCCAATAGACTTTATGTTTCTTTCCTACTTTTATCACTTAACCTATTTTCTATATTAAAAAGTCTGAAGAGGTTAAACTAGAAAATAAACATATTACAGTACATGTAAAAGCAGAAATAGCTTTTAACTGTATAATCCAATTCTCTTTTGCTCTTAGTGTAAGACATGCAGATATATAACTCAAAAAAAGACAAAGACAATCCAACATTTACAATTTAAATATGACCACAACCTTTTCATTATGTTTTAAGCTTCAAATTAATAAAACTAGTTATGTATACATTTAGTATTTTTCATAGATTATAATTTGAGTAGTTACTACTACATGTTAGCTGACTATGCAAAGTATTAACTAGAATCACAGAAGAGAAAAACAAAAAAAATGGAACACAATATATTTTAGTCAAGAAACAATAAAACATTTTAAATCCTACTGATTATAGTAGGAAGTTGTACAGTTTTGTATCCAGTAAAACCACTGAAATTAAATGGACAAAAACATGCCAAACATTTCACAAAACTTATCCAATTTTTAACCTGGAGATTTGAAAGTATCTATAAACTATTTACTACTTTACAAATTATATTATTTGCTTTAGAAACTATTATACCTACTTTACAACAATAACTACCCTACATTAGACTTTGTTAAATGGAAGTATGCATGAAAAATACTACTTAGTTTCTCATCTGGATACCCTGGTAAACTAATCAAAGAGAATAAATTGAATCAAATTTTAAATCAGAACATAAGTTACAATGAAAGAATGTACATATTAAGGTTTAGATAATGCAATGTATGGGTGCGAATTCAGATTATGTTGGCTAATGTGGAAATTCAGAAACCTATTCTGGAAAAAGCAGTAGCCAACCAACTCTTTTATGCTGCCAAGAAAGTGTTGAATGCAATTGCCAGGAGCTAACCTTCACCTGGGGTTAACTTTACCTTTTATTGTAAAGATAGTATATTAAATCTTACTTTCTTTAAAATAAAGAAATTATGTTGTATTCTTCATCTAAATTTCTGAATAACTATGTGCTTATGAGATTTCAAAATGAAAAAACAATTTTATTTGAGCATGCTTAAAAATAGAATCCCATATTAATTAGCACTTAGACTTATATATTGCTTCAGAGTCGGCATATTGCCCCCAACAAGTAATATTCTAATAGTGCTCAATGTGCATACTCAATTATCTCCTGAGTTTGGGGCCCCACATGGGAACAAAAATTGGGAAGCTAGAAGAGGAAGAGTAATAGTTCATAACAGCTAAGACATGTAATATTTTTAAGTAGTTTGATATACATGCATAACATATACAGGAACATTAGCATAAGAATATTGTACTAGAAAGAACTGTCAACAAAGGCCTCCTATTTCTCTGTATATATCTGAAGAAACAAAATACAAAAGTAATTAAATATAAATTAACAGTTGTAGATAAAGGATAGAATAAAAAAAACAAAGTAATGATGTGTGGTTCCTTTTCAGTCACATTATATTTCTCCTACTGCCCAATCATCTCTTTCTCAGCAATCAACTCACATTTTAGAGACAATTAAAATATTCAGTTTTCATTTATTTGGGGGGGAGGGATTCTCTCCCACAAAAGGTTTTCTAGGAATATGTTGTAATTCTGCAGAATTTTAAATTCTTCCAGTTCCACTTATGCCTTCCTTGCTGGTATACATGATAGAGTATTGGCTAGAGCAGTGTTTCCCAAACTTGACAATGCTGGCTGTGGAATTCTGGCAGTTGAAGTCCACATGCCTTAAAATTGTCAAGTTTGGGAAACACTGGGCTAGAGTATTTGCAGGATAGAGATTTGGGAAACCAAGGACTTAATGATCAAGTGGTATGTGCAGCAAAATATTATATGTAATTTTATGACTGTGTTACTAGTGGTTATAAAGTGTTTGAAAATAGACAAGTTAATATATTGTTATTTTATTTAATATATTTTTGAAAATTAAAAAATATGCATATAGATCTGTATCCTATATTTTTTCCAAAAGATAGGGCAGAAAACTCCAGGCAACTATTGTGGATCCAAATGACTTCTATTTGAAGCCAGGCAAGGAGAAAGAAGGCACAATATAATCAATAGATAAATGGTTATTTGCTATTAAAGTTGGTGCATTCCTAAACTGTACCATGACAGAGAAAACTAATCACCATCAGCACTTTTCAGCCAACAGCAATAACACTTAGACTTATATATCACTTCATAGTGCTTTACAGCCCTCTCTGAGTGGAGTAGAGTCAGCATATTGCCTCCAACAATCTGGGTCCTCATTTTACTGACCTTGGAAGGATGGAAGGATGAGTCAACCTTTTGCTGGTGGAGAACTGAACTTCTGGAAGTTGGCAGAATTAACCTGTAATTCTACTGCATTCTAACCACTGCATCACTGCGCAGTTTATTAATTGGGAAGGGGAGAAGGGAATCAGGCAAGATGAGAAAGAGTAATACAAAAAACAGTAAACTCACTGAAAAATGGTACAATCCCAAAAGATGTACCTGCTACAGCATTCAAATTGGAACACAGGAGTTAAGCATTTAGACTTGTGTAAAGTGGCAGGCTTTCTGCCATATGTTACAGTAACTATAAGTGAATTCTAATGAGGGCTTCTGCATAGGCCAAAACCCCCTAGGCTCAGAGACCAAAATGAAGAATGAGGTTCCTCTAATCTAGATAATATCTGACAATTATCCATAGGCTCTGGTGCTGTTTTAGTTACATTAACTTTATTTGATGACCTCTTCCAAATTTCTTGTTAGTCCATCAGCAAAATTCATCTCTATTGACTGATTATGTAAAACATAAAGTTCTTCAGCCCTCCTTTGCCATATTTCACTCTCCATAATCCTTGAATCTTTGATCTTACACTCAGCTACCATCAATCTTCTCTACCTTCATAAATGATATTTGTGTATCATTAATTGCATGTAATTGTCATGTATTTCCCAGCTGCTGCCCATTGCATCTAGAAATGTTTTTGACTATAGCATATTGCATGAGGCTGCTATGTTCAGGACAATTATTTATGTTTTTTGGGAAATCCATCTTCTCTCAGTATCTCCCCTCAGAAAACTGCCTGACAAATGTAAACAAAGCATACTGTATGGACAGGAAATTCAGGAAGTTATGTTATTCTTAATTGGTATTCTTTTTGTGAACAGGAGATTAAGTAATTTTTGTTGGTTTACAAATGAATGACTTTGAGATTGGGCTCAATATGTGGAAATAAAAGACATTCAGCTATTGGTCAGCTTGGCAGTAATTAGACTGAGCACTGACAGAGATGATCCCTGCAACTTCCAAATTTGCAAAAAGGTTTACAAGTCCCTGATCAAATTGTAGTCCTAACTGTAACACAAAGATATAAAAAAATTCAAAAAAATTCAAAAAAAAATTAAGTTTGTGTTGTAAAGGTCTAGGGCAGGGGTCCTCAACCTTGGCAACTTTAAGACTTGTGGATTTCAACTCCCAGTTAAATGCTCTCATTCCTCTTAGAGGACATTTGTTAAGATTCGTTGTATTAAATTACCCTACCAAACTTTGCTGACACACGTTTGCTGTTTATATTTGTCCATTTAATAAGCTCAATACATGAAAATCATGTTTTATCTGTCTAGCTGCTTGGAAAAACATCACTCTCTCTCACACACACAAACACACACATAAACACTCTCACACACAAACACACATAAACACACACAGAGAGAGACACACAAACCCAAGCTCCATTGGCACCCTCAGCATGAGATATTTATTTGGCAAATCACTAATAGATTGAGTTGGGCTTATGTAAAGCACAATATAGGAGTCCAACCCTATAATATTGATACCATTGACAAATTAACTTTTATGAGAATTTCAATATAGACCAATATTGTGGGTGCTTAATTTTGCTGCAATGACCTTTAGAGGAGTGGGTTTTTTTCTTCTTTCAACCAAATACAATTACTATACAAGTTGTCCTTTTCTGTGTACAGCCAAATAATTTAAATACATATATAGATACACATACAAATAGAAACTAAAAGGTACTCTATAATGATGCTAGTCCAGTTAGGAATAGTGAAAACAGTAGTATTTGTTTGGATGAAAACTAGAATTAGCAACCTTAAATGAGTTAAATTCCTCTTGAAAACTGATTTGGTCATTGAATAAATAATGTGATTTGACTGACATGAAAATTTCAGTTTACTATTGAAATCATAGGGTACACTGTCCCCAATAAAGCTGTTTGTTTCATATTTAGCATTCACATATTTACACTTCATTTCATATATACTCCCACTGCTGTTTTGTTATTTTATAATAGCAAATGGTGCAATTCTTACCATTTAGAAGATCTTCCATTTTTTCACCATGCATATTATATATATACTTGGCTGGTAAAATAAGGTTCAGTCGCATGGTACAAATATCTAAAAACTTAAAACAAAATCAAAATCAGAATCATTAATATTTAAATATTATTGGGTTTTTTTAGAATGAAGCATAAATATATTTAGTTGTTCAAGGGGAAAATGGTATCTTAGCTATTTAGGATCATTTTCCTGTTCAAGAAAAAATGGTTATTTCAGCCATTTAGGATCATTTTCACTAAATGTGAAGATTCACGATATTCATCCAATCCATTTTTATTATTATAAATAATACAAATATATTCATTTATAACAGTGCAACAATGCATTTATAACTGATTGGCTGAATAATAGAATAACAGGAAAAATAAGTTAGAATCTGTGAAATTCTAGCAATGAAATAAGGGAGGTTGACTCCCAATATTCCATTTTATGTTATTTATTTACTTGTTTTAGGCAAATGATAGAAAACAATAATGATGAAAAAGAAAAGATTTCATGCTTTTGTTCCTTCTACCTATGGCTAATGAAATCATTTTTTTCCAGAATGGAAACAAAATTCTAATACAGAAGAAAATGTGTAGCTCTTGCTTAAACTATGACATCCTTGGTGATCCCTGAGCTTGATTGTTTGCTTGCAGACATTTCATTACCCAACTAGGTAACAACATCAGTATTGGTGAGTGTGAGGTTTGCTCCTTTTTAATTTACTGGCTTGCCATGTTAGTGTTGGCAGGGGTCATTTTCTCCTTGGTAGTTTTTCTTGATTAAAGCGTTATTTTCAGCTGGATAGTTTCTAAGGCACTACTTTAAGACCTCTGCTATGGATCATAAGAGTGATGATCCCATGGGTATTCCTTTGGATGGGATGTAGGAAGATAGGGCAGTAAAGCTTACTCGGATGTAATGCAAACAATTATGCCACAGACCAAAGGAATACAGAAACAGAATTAATTCATAGCACAAACCATAATGCAGCATCTAGAAATTATAGCATGCTAACACATATAACCAAAAAAATGAATCTAGTGTGTGGATAAAGACACCTTTAAAGTAATAAAAAATGGAACAACTAGAGAAGACACATGAAACAATCAAGAAGTTTAAAGGAATACAATTCACAAGGGAAGAAGAAAACATCAACATAACACCCTTCCTGTGTTTCAGCAGCAACAGTGGAAAAGATGCCAAATTAGAAACAATAATTTATCAAAAAAAAAAAACCTATCCAAACTAACCAAATGCTCCATTACCAAAGTAACAACCCAACCTTCCACAGCAGGAGCTATATAAGAACATTATTCAGATGAACTGAAATACACTACAACACCCGGAATACCACAAAAAGAAAACAGACCGTCTAGCCAACCTAGGCAGACGAGTAGCAGAACACATCCTTGAACACCAACTAGCCATCAGAAGAAACAATACAAACTTCTTAATCTCACAAAATATCAACAAAGTCAATTGCAATTTCAACTGGCATCTTACACTAAGCCAAATCCTAAAATACTAGGGAATTCCTGGAAGCTTGGCATTCAGACAAATCAGCCATCAATAGACTCATAGAAGTAAATCATATATACCATTCAAAAGAGACAACAAAAAGCTGAGAAGAAAACAAGACATGTCTCCTCCAGCAGCCAACACCCAAATAAGCAGAGACACCAGACAAAGAATTAAGTGCAAAGCAATACTTAATCAAGGAATTACCAAGGAGAAAGCTATTGTATATGAACAGGGAGCAAATCTCACACTCAGTAGCAATGATGATGTTACCTAATTGGGTAATGAAAAATCTGCAGACATAACAAAGACAGTAGCAAGGATTCCATGGAAACAAAGTTGGATTGCATGGAGGGACTTAAGGGAATCAAAGACTGAATCCAAGATGGAACCTTTTACTCTATACTATCTTTTGAAATGCAGATTACTTTCATGATTTTTGTCAGTCACTTCCTTTTATCTTACTCAATACTACTTTTGCTTTATTGGAATTGGGTATGTCTAGTTTAACGAAGAGAAGAACAACGGGGGACATGATAGCAGTGTTCCAATATCTCAGGGGCTGCCACAAAGAAGAGGGAGTCAAGCTATTTTCCAAGGCACCTGAAGGCAGGACGAGAAGCAACGGATGGAAACTGATCAAGGAGAGAAGCAACTTAGAACTAAGGAGAAACTTCCTGACAGTTAGAACAATTAACCAAAGGAACAACCTGCCTCCAGAAGCGGTGAATGCTCCAACACTGGAAGCTTTTAAGAAGAGACTGGACAGCCATTTGTCTGAAATGGTGTAGGGTTCCTGCCTGAGCAGGGAGTTGGACTCGATGACCTCCAAGGTCCCTTCCAACTTTATTATTATTATTATTATTATTATTATTATTATTATTATTACTATTATTACTACTACTACTACTACTACTACTACTACTACTACTATAGAATGTACATATGTTCTTGGAATGACATATTTATTTTTGATATTGAAATTTCACAGCTCATTTTACAATCAATTAAAATAATTTATAAAGACTCAAAAGCATCAAAGACCAGATCTAAAATTTCTGATTGTTCTGATAACAAAACATCCAGGGCATCAGTTCTAAAATATTGTTTAGTACAGTGCTGGTTTAAGAAAAGCAGTGATGCATTTTGTCAATCCAAATGCAATTAAAGGAATATGAAATATAACATGAAATAGGATCACTATACTGGAATTACCATATATATACTTGCAAATAAACTAGAATTTTAAGTGCCAAAATGAATTGCAAAAATTGAGTTTGGCTTATCCATGGATGGGCTTATCTGTATATATGGTAATACTTTTTAAATATACCCATATATACCCATATATCCTATATATCCTATATATACTCACACATAAGCCATTAGCAGGTAAAATGACATTTGAATGTTTAACAAGATACCATGCAAAATGGATAACCTGTGGATCACCCATGGATGAGACAATTGTGAAAATTAAAATATATAAACATTTTGTGGATCACCTTAGCTGCAGGCGACATATTTTACATGTATTTTGATTAAAAATTCAAGAGTTGGTTTATCCGTGGACAAGTTTATTCATGAGTATGTATGGCATCATAATTACTGTAACTCCCACCCTTTGGCCCTGAATGGAGATAATACTGCACTGTTTTGTGGGACTGCTATTTTAAGCAGGTATATAATAAAAATAGCTATTATCTGCATGTTTTGGAAACAGCATTTTTTAAATATTTTAGAACTGATCAGTTTTTTAAATAAAAGAGTTAGAAATGTCTTAACCCATTCCTTTTACTTTTACCTTTTTGGGGGTTGCAAAATATAGACATTATTACCCAATTTTAGCTACCTCAAATTCTAAAGTTCTGAATTATAATTTCAATAAATTTGATATTTTATATGAAATTATAGCAAACACTTCTCAACATGAAACAAAGGTGCAAATGTCACCATCTCCAGTATGTTAATTATTGCTATGTCTATTCATTCATTAATTGAAAATACTTTGAAGCAGGAAGAGACCTTTTTCTATAAAATAGATATGTTTAAGTGAAAGCTGGGAATAGAGAAATTAGACCTATCTGAAGGAAAGAAGTGGCCAGGCAAGACACATTTTTAATTTACTTGCTCCAAACACCATTTATTAACCATCTATGTCCCTTTCTTTTTGTGTCCAATCCTGTAATGCTCATCTTCTTCATATTTGTTTTCTTCTTTTTCTTCTTCCAGAATTTAAACATGAATTATAAAGCAAACTTAAATACTTACAAAAAACTCAGTGAATCAATTCTGCTTCTACACATACAAATGTTAATGGAATTGTATGAACCTGAGTCTCTAACTCAAATCTAAATCCAAAAGATTGGATTTAATGGTCCAGTAAAGCATCCAAACAAAACATGACAATGCATAATGGAATCTATTCAATTATCTATGGGAGGTGCACCTGCAATTTTGTCATAACCTCCACAACTGAATTGTATCTACTCTAATCATACATCTAAATGGACCAATTACGAATAATAAAACAAAAGTGAAAACGTTCTTCATATACATGCCACATCTCAATATACCTTTTCAATTTGGTTTGGAGATGCTGCTATTTCATAACCATCCTGTCCCATGCAGTTCTTAAACACCAAAAGTCTGATCATAGGTTTTTCTATAAGTTTCTTCATACGTTTGGAAAGTACAGGGTCAGCTTTTCTTCTCTTGACATCTCTAGGAAAAATGAGACCATTCAGTGTCCAAGTTGCATTCTTCATTAACAACAGATGGTCTGGAAGAAAAGAAGTAAAGTAAATATTTAGTTTCTGAATTAAAAGCGAACATATCATGCTCCCTTTCTCCTATTACCTTAATAACACACTGGCTGCTATCCACATAAAAGCTGATATTTTTGGAAATACGACCCCATCTTTCCGCAAACCGTGACATAAGCTGTAGCAAGCTGTCTCTATTGATAGCCTGCATAAATCATCATTCCTGAAGGGAACAGATGTTCAGGGTATGAAAGAGTAATACTACAATTTAGTCATAATTAAAATTCACCTTAGCATGCCTCTGTAGCTGATCAGAAAGCAACATTTTACTTCTCATCTGCAAAACACTTTTCTTCACCTTTGCTTCATAAAATGAAAGATACTTGTTTCTGAGCCTTGACCTACATTTGCCTAGATTTATAATACTCATGAAGTCTCATACAAATGATCCATTTAACAGCTGGCTTCCTAATTCTTTTAAAATAATGACCCCATGGATAATATCTTAGTAGAGAAACTCAAATTGAAAAGGGTATATACTTGATAGTTTTTCTCTGCTACCTTGGCTATCAATCCATTTTTGCAAGGTTAGGAAGATAGAAATTAAATATTTTTTACCAAGGAAAAACCTAAGAGACATTTCTAGACAAAGTGGGAACATTGATTAAAAATCTCTGTTCATAATTTCCTTATATAGTTTATCTAATGCCTTTCTACCCAGAGTAATCATTTAGTAGGTCCATCCAGAATGTCTCAAAATCATGAATGCTTTTGAATTATCAGGTTGAAGAGAAGGAGAAAAATCTATTTTACTTTTGTAACATGTCTACTAATTACAAAAGAATATCAAGATAATATCAAGACAAAAAAAACTTAGCCTCATTAGTTGCAAGAAGAAAATACTCAAAACTATATAACATCTTAATAGTATTTTATTCTATTTAAGTACTAATGGCAACTCCCAGTTCCTACAAGATAGCCAAAAGCATAGTAAATATAAAGATTTTTCCATTACAAAATTGGAAATTAATTTTAGGTGATGCATTGTATAGATACAATATTTTAGGAAATTTCTGTTTGTAAATTACATATAGTAAATAGTATAAAGTATAAAAACTTTATTTATCCTGAGAAATACAGATCACTTTTACTTTTTAACTGTTACAACAGAGATTTATACAAACCAGAAAAGCTATGGATCTTAGAAAAGTTAACTTGAACATCCCATTTTCTCCATTATATTTGCTACTAAAATCCAGTGTACTCAATCTCTTCTCTCTTATATACACAAATATAGAAGTTGCTTTTCAAATTACTGTAAGTATATGCAGTTATTTACAGCTAAAATGATAAACTGTAAACCATTAGTAAAGCATAACAGAATAACAGAGTTGGAACGGACCTTGGAGGTCTTCTAGTTCAACTTTCTGTTCAGGCAGGAAACCCTATACCATTTCAAACAAATGATAGTCTAATCTCTTCTTTAAAACTTCCAGTGTTGGAGCATTCACAACTTCTGGAGGCAAATTGTTCCATTGATTAATTGTTCTAACTGTCAGGAATTTTTTTTTTTTTAGTTCTAGGTTGCTTCTCTCCTTGATTAGTTTTCATCCATTGCTTCTTGTCCTGCCTGCAGGTGGTTTGGAGAATAGGCTGACTCCCTCTTCTTCATTGCAACCCCTCAAATATTGGAACACTGCTATCATGTTACCTGTAGTTTAAGGTAATACATATACATAGTCCATAGTTTAAGGTAGTACAAATTATTTAATTATTGATTTGGTAATCCTCAGTTTATGACAAGTGGGATTTTTTCTCCTTTCCCCTACACTTTTTTCTGTCCCCATTTCCCTTCCCCATTTTCCCACTATTTTCATTTTCATTTTATACTTTGATAAGTTTAATAACATTATAAAGTGCATGTTAAAAAGGGAAAACACAGCTAACAAGTGAAGATAGCATAATCTTTATGTTGTTTAGGAAATCACTAAAAACTTGGTTGTTCTCCCAGGCCTTGGGGGCAGGGTAAATATGAAGCCACTTTTTCTTTGTTTTGTTTTGTTTCTTTGGTCTGACTTGTTTTAATTTTGATATTTTACACTTCATATTTGATATTTTACACTTCCAGTCAGTTATATCAGCTTTTTTTGTATGCTATTTTTTTTAGTTGTAAGAGTTATTTGGAACTTATAAATGAAATCAATCAGTCTTCATATAAAAACTACATGTGCATTCAACCAGCACACTTCTAACATTACTACAAGAATTCCTTATGCACTTAAGGAAAGATATATTAAACAAGGGGAGATAACACATCTTTGTACGAGGCTAATGGCTGAATCAATTTGAATTCAAATCTATTCAGTTTATCAAAAACTTTTTTTCTAAATCAACCAATATGCAGTATGCTCTCATATTCATACATTTCTTAATAATTATTAAAGAACAGAAAGGTCTGTACATTCTTTGCTTATGTGATGCCATACTGCACTTTCCAGATTTTGTTCACTGTCAACTTTTTTATTCTTTCAATCAGAATTCTGCCAAATGTATTTCCAGCATATTCAGTAAATTTAACCTCAGTAATTTTTGCATTCACTTTTGTTATCTTTCCTTTTTTTGGGGGGGGGGGGAGGAACAATAATAGAGTTCTTCCAACTGTAAGGCACAGATGCTATCTTCATACACATATTAAAGAAATTACACAGAAACTCCATAAAGGAAATGGCATCCAATATTTTAGCCGTTATATCAGTTACATATATAACTGTTACATCGTTTATACTTTCAGCCTTACCTTTTTTCAACACCTTTATAATATTTAGTATTTTTCTTGTTTTTTTCTACTTTCTGGAGTATAGGAGGGAGGGCAAGTAAAATAGCCTTTCTGGATCCTTAATGTAATAGCTTATATCAATGATGTATATCATTCCAGTCTGTTTCTGAGCATAGCCTATTATAAAGTGCTGTCAAAAGTACATTAGCACAAACAGTAGTATACATACAGTAAGTGCATTATTTAGGCATAAGACCTTATGGGAGGGAACACATGGGTGGATGAAGGCAATAGGTAACTCCTCTTTGAGAGAGGGAGTGGTCCCACCAGCTCTTAAAGAGATGGTGATGTGCCCCCTCCTCAAAGGACCATTGCTTGACCTGGACAGAGATTATCTAGACCCCTTTCAGTCAGGGTTCAGACCAGGATTTGGGACTGCGATAGCATTGATTGCGTTAATGGATGACCTCTGGTAGGAGTGGGATGGGGGTAGTGCATCCATCCTGGCTCTTCTTGATCTCTCAGCAGCATTCAATACCAATGTTCAAGGTATCCTTCTGGGCCAGCTCCAGGAATAGAGAATGGTGGCAGTTCTTTCTCTGGGGCTGGTTCCAATTAATGTTGCTAAAGAGAGAAAGATCTAGCCTGCAGCCCCTACTTTGTGGGGTGTCTCAGGATAGTGTTCTTTCTCCCCTTCTATTTAACATTTACATAAGGCTGTGGGGTGAGGTGATCCATTGGTTTGAAGTGAAAGATCAACAAAATGCAGACAATAGCCAGATTTACATCTCTACATCCTCATGTCTGTAGGCTGTTAGGGACTGGATTCAATCCTAGCAAGACAGAGTGGCTATGGGTATTCCAACCCATCCACCCCCTGCAGAGGCAATGTTCTTCTATCTATGGTTCTGGATGGACTTGCACTATTCCAGACAGAACCAATGCACAATCTGGGTGTCCTTCTGGACTTGCAGCTCCTGTTCAAAGAGAAAGTGGTAGCCATGGCTAGAAGGGCCTTTGCATACCTTTGGGTGGTGTGCCAGTTGCACCCATACCTGAACTGGGAGGTCCTGCTCCTAGTAACTCATGCTTTTGTAACCTCCAGCTTAGACTACTGTAACATCCTCTACCTGGGGCTGCCCCTGAAGACCATTCAGATACTCTAACTGGTGTAGAATGCAACTGTGTTAGTAGCAAATAGTGCCAAATATATGGCACACATAATACAACTCTTGTGTGAGCTGCACTGATTACCAGTATGTAACTCAAGCACCAAGTTTTAACTTTAAAAAACAATTTTATAAATACCATCTATAAATAGGTTGGGGAAAATAAAACAATAGATTAATGAACTCAATAAGTTACATGCCATAGAAAATTAAAGAAACTCTAAAAGAAAAAAATTAAAGTCTGAAAGAAATGTGTTTTCTTATCACAAATTTGATAAGTTGATTTATCTCAAAACATGTCTTTCTAGTAAGTTGGACTCCTTAAAATGTTCATTAAACAAAACTATACAAGGAAAAATGTACTCAACATACTTCTACTGCATTCTGAGAAGAGATAATATACAATAAAGTAAAATTACTATATTGCATCTGAATGTCCCAAACATTTCACTTTGCTAGATAGATCTGTCATTTTCCTTCCATTCTGAGTTTAAGTAGTACTTGAAAATAAATCTATTATAATAGAGTTTTTATATTGAGATCATTATTTAAAGTGCATTCATTTATTACATTTTTATTCTGCTTTTCTCTAACAGCTCAGTACAGTTTATATCAGGATTTCCTTGAATTTTATCCCAAAGAACAATGCTAGAAGATAGATTGGATTGAGAGAGAATGTCATCTGAATTTGGAATTTGACTGACTCTCTCCAATCTAACACTTTAGTAACTGTAAGATTCTCATACTGCACAATATAACTAGTATCAATAAAGGAGAATATTTGTAGCTCAGGGTTGAAATGAGGGGTCCATGGTGCTCTCTGAGCTGGGTTATTTTCTTGCAGATGTTTCATCACCCAAACAAGATAACATCTTCAGTGTTATTGATGATGTTACCTAGTTTGGGTAATGAAATGTCTGCAAGAAAACAACCAAGCTTGGAGAGCTCCAAGGACCTCTCATAACTACTAACTTTTATGTAAATGGAATCCAGGTGCACACTGGCCCATCTTTTTTTTTAAAAAAAAAAATGTGTTAGGCTCTCTATGTAAACCAGATCACTGGAAGATTAG